AAAATGCGAGGGAATTCTTGGAAGCTTGGCATTCAGACAAATCAGCCATCAATAGACACATAGAGATAGATGATATGCCACACCCTTCAAAAGCTAAGAAGGAAACAAAAAGACCAGAACACATCCTCTCCAGCAGCCAACACCCAGATAAACAAAGATTAACACCAGCAAACAATCAGGCAGAAAACAATATCTTAATCAAGGAATTATCAAGGAGAAAACCTCACCCCCACTAACACTGGCAGGGCAAGCTACTATATATAAACAGGGGGCAAACCCCATCATCACAAGCACTGAAGATGTTACCTAGTCAGGTAATGAAATGTCTGCAAGGAAACAACGAAGCTCAGAGAGCACCAAGGACTCCACAGTTCAACCCTGAGCTACAGATATTCTCTTCTGTTGGAGGGAAGATAATCCATCAGCACGGGGTAAGGCAATATTAATGCTGTATGCTGATGATCTCCAATTACACTTTCCACCCAGGTGGAGCAGGAGATATGGTTGTGGTTTGGCCCTAGTGCCTAGAGTCTGGATGGGGACAAACAGGCTTAGATAGCACCAGCATGATCCAGAAACTCACTGATTCTGAAACAAGTATCTTTAGCTCAAGACAGGACGTCATCCCCCCAACGGAGCTGGAGTGCAATCTGTTGGTCCTTATCGCTGTTGCTAGAATAGCAGGTGGAAGCTGGGGCCAAGTGGGCTTTTGCACAGTCACGTCCTGCCTACCAGTTGCAACCATTTCTGGAATGGGAGACTTTGTTGATGGCCATTCATGCCCTTGCCTCCTCACCCCCAGGCATTTAGACCATTTAGAAGCTTCTTTTGGTTCAGCATGCAACAGCTGGGGCAGTCATGGGCACAGGGGAACTGCGGCAGAATCTGGCTACCGGTTAGCTTCCAGGTGCAGTTCACAGTGCTAGCCCTGGCTCTGAGATTGCCTGCTCTAGTTGGAACTGGCTCATCTGGTGTGGCTGGGGAAAGAAGGGTCCCACTATTGAAGGGACGTCACCTTTCATCTGGGATGAAAGCCTTATTACAGGCCGACCTGGCATTTAGCAGCAGCAACTGAAAGCCAGGGCCTCTGAGGATCTGTTGACCAGTGCCCATCACTGCTGGGATGTTTCGACCCATCCCAAGCCCCCTAAGATCCCCATACCCCCTGACCCATATCCTCCAGTTCCCAAGGAAAGGGGTCCCCATCTCATCACACTTCCAACCACCACACCAAGAGAGGGTGAGTGGGAACCTTGGGCACTTCAGCCTTTACTCTCGGCGCCATGGGGAATCTCCACTCCCACTCCCACTCAACAACTCACCATCCACACAGCACCCCACCAAGCCACCCTCACTGGCTAGCCAGGGAGCTCATCTCCCACCACAGACAGACAATCCCTCCCCACACACCCCCCCCCGGCTCTCACACAGAGGGAGGGCAGCTGGCCCTCATGCAGGAGCAAACAGCCCAACATGTTCAATGCCTCCTCCACAACTATAAACCACCTGGTCAGGGAAATCCACAGGCAGTGTCAAAGATGACTACAAATATGGTTGCCACACAGCTCTTTGCTGCTGAAAGGTGGAGAGAAAGGCAAGATGGCTGCTTGACTTCTATGGGAGCATCCATATCGGCTTCAAGTCATGAGCCCTTGACTGCTGCTAGCCCACCAGGGACCGGCTGCCAAGGGTCCCAAAACAGCCACCTCCCCACAGGGATTGCCGCCGTCCTCCAAGATAGAAAGTCCAAACGGGCAGGCCAAGGCGCTGCGCCACGTCACTCCATCGCCCCTCCTTGAGGTTGCACGCCAAAGTGTCAGGCCACCACTGCCATCATCAGCATGGCAATTTATTTACTTGTTTCATTTATATAGCGCCCGTCTCACTGCGTGTGTCGCCGTTGCCAAACCAAGAAGCACCGTCAGGCCTCTGGTCGTTGCTGCCCTGCCAGACGTTTCTGTCGCCACCTGAACCTCCAGAGCTGCGGCCAAACACCGTGCCCCCTCTGCTGCCTCCAAACGAACTCCTGGTAGCGCCGCTGAAATAAAGTGGCTGAGCGCCGGCAGTCAAGAACTGGCACGCCACCCGACGCGGGCAGGGCAGCCCTGATGCGGCTTCTGCTCTTGATGACAGTCCGTGGAAGGGAAGGCCAGACGCAGCCCGCCCCAAGCAGCACCGGTCCCAACAGCTTGGCTCGGGACAGCCCGGTTTCCTCCACCGACTTAGCCTGAAGAAAACCAGGAACGGTCCAACAACGTCAGCATCTCAGCGCATCACATCTCAGCTCACCCACGTCCCCTCTAACCATCTCCAATGAACAAAAACAAGCTCAGAAGGGAGCCCACACTACAACCCATCTGCTGTCACCGCCATCTCAACTCCCAATCGTACCATGATAACATGGAATACTTCTTCGCATAGTGTGTTTCTAAGTTGTGAATGTACTACCTCAAAACGACACAAAAGACACCCAGAGCACCACTGGAGGAAGACAAAATGAGTCTGACCAAGCATGGGGACGCGGTGGCGCAGTGGCTTAATGATGCTGGAGTTGCCGGCCAGAAATGGTCGATGCTTCAGCGGTTCGAGCCCAGCTCCGCGTGGCGGGGTGAGCTCCCGTCGTTCGTCCCTCACTCCTGCCCACTTAGCAGTTCGAAAGCAGACCATCCGCGAGTAGATAAATGGGTATTCCCATTTCAGTGGGAGGAAATGCTGGCGGCACTTTGCGCGGGGAACAGGAACCGGTTGCTGGACCCACCTAGACGCGATTGGCGGAGGAAGAAAGCCCGGATGATCCGACTTCCCTGCGACCGCTGCTGGCCAAGGTTAGTAATTGCTGTAATGTAGTAATGTAATTGTTAA